CCAGGTCAGGGGACACCCTTGTCTTCTGTGAGACAATAAACCATGAGTGACACCCTCCATAGAATGACAGGGACGTCGCGACCAGCAGCAGGAGACCAGCCTCCCAGTCCTACTGAACTACTGTCCGCCAGGCTCCTGACACCTGAAGCTGGAGATCAGAATTAACTTGGGGGCCGGCCGGGAACCCAGGATCCCTTTGAGCTGTGAGTCCTTACAGCTCGGGATCTCAGGGGACCCCTGGCTCCGGCCCCTCAGCTGCAGTCCCGGTGAAGGCCAGGATGGGGAGGTGGCCGGCCTTGGACATGCCCATGGCCCCCGGTGGGCAGGCTGCAGGGTGTGCAGACCGCATGTCTGGAATGTGCGTCTGGCCCATTTGGAAGCTGGTTCTGGGACGCGTCCTTCACAGCTGAGTCCGGTGGCCACGGCAGGGCCCAGCCTTCCCTTCAACTGCCGGCTCGGGGCATCAGCCGCGGCACCAGGGCACCCGCCTGCACCGCCCTACCCAGTGCTTCCTTCCATTTCCTCAGCAAACACACACCTTCCTGTTCTCAGCACGGAGCCCAGCTCCGGGGCCATCGTTCTGGCCCATCTGTTCCCAAATGGAGGCCCGGCCGGGGCTTCCTGGGGGCTGAGTGGGCTCCATCGTGTATCCCCAGCACCCAGCGTGGGGTCCAGTGGGGGTTGTGGGGGAGGGGGGTAGGCAGCCGAGGTGGGTGGGGAGAGAAGGGGCTGGTCCCCTGGGCACGCCACCTTCCCCTCTGTGGCATCGGGACCTCCGCCCCGTGGTGACGAGCCCCCTGAGGTTGCCGGCTCCTCTCCTGGGCACAAGCTGCCTCCAGGTGAACCGCTCTCCACTCTCTTACAGCGACTCAAACAACCACTGTTGGGGGACACGGGCACCGCCTGCAACGGCTCCAGTCACTGAATCGGCCAAACAGGCCCGCGAAGGGGCACCGGCTGGGCCAGACCGGGTGTCCGGGCTCTTTCTGCTGAGAGGACAAAGACCATCCCCTCACAACAGGGTCGCAGACACGCCGGCCAGATGCACTCTGTTTGCACTCGGGACCGCCCGGGCTGCCGGCCAGCACTGCGGAGACCTGGGGCGGGGTCTTGGGGAGCACGGGAGGATGGCGGGGAGTCTTCGGGTGTGGCCTCCTCCCCCGAGGGTCCGGGGAGTGATTCCGTCCTGGGTTCTGGGCCTGGGCCTCACACCGCGAGGCCCTGGGGGCGGGGGCTCTGTCCACTTGTTCCACCCGTGGCGAGTGTGCTCACGCGAACACGCGTGCCTTCGAGTCCTGGGAATTTTTGTAGAAAACCCCTTGGAAAGCTGCTTCTTTGTTTTCCTCTACTTCTGGACACTCTCCGGGCCTTCCGCACCGATCTTCCATTTCTTCCCTTTCCTGTTTCCTGATTCTTTAGAGAAATTCTACTCTGCGGCTGCTGGAATTTCAACAAATTCTGTTACACCCACATGCTCACATCGGTATAGTATCTGCATGCAAACACATATGTGTATGCGCGTGTGCATGTATGTGCTCTTTGCAAAAGTGTGTTTTAAATACCAAACTGCAGTCAGCCACTGCATGTGACGGGGGACACCTTTGGGATCCCCCAGTGCGGTGCCCCCCTGCTGCAGCTGGCCTCTCGACCTGCAGACCAGCCAGCAGTCTCTGCGTTCAGATGGGGGTCGGGGGGAAGGGTCGACCTTAGGCTTTTGGCCCGGCCGCGGCGGCCCCTCCCCGTGGAGACCCCTGGATGGCCCGCCCACGTCACTCCTGGCTGCACCTGGAGACTCCGAGGCTGGGACAGAACTCGGACATCCTGGGGCCCATGTGACGGGGCCGCTGCTGCCTCGCAGCCGGAGGTGGCTCCGCTCTGGGAGGTGTACTCCCGTGGCGGCGACTCCCCTGAAGCCCCGTTCTGTTATCCCCGGACTCTCTGGGCCCCCACCAGGGTCCTCTCACATGCAGCACAGAGTCCAAATGCGGTGCCTCAGCTGCCTTGAAAACGGATTTCAGTCTGGGGTTTTACTCCAATTTGGGGCACTCTACGTGGCCAAGTGTGTTTGCAGTGATCACTGATTAGAATATTCTGGAATGCCGACACCCGGCACGAGTGGCAGCTGACATCTGTGGGAGGAGCGCCGGGCGGGCGGGAGGAGGTTCCGCTTGCCGCGTGGCCAAGTCCCGGCTGCAGACTCAGCTTCCTTCCCTCCTCCCACTCAGGGGGCCTCCCGCATCCGAGGCCGGGAGGGGATGCTGCTCTTGACCTTGGGCACAACCTGCACAGTCCGCCTGCGCTGTCCTGCCCGATGCAGATTAAAGTCCATGAGCAGAGGAGAGAGCAGCCAGAGCCTGGACAAGCAGCGGAGACCTGGGGCCCAGGTTCCCCTGCAGCTGCCTGGGGCCCACTGCCTCTCGGGGCAGGGCCCCGCCCTCTGACGCACTACCCCGCCCTCTGACGCACGACGTGCTCCGTAGTTCTCTCCCCGCGTCTTCCTCCTCCTCCTACCTGGCTGCCACCTGGTACAATAATCTCACGACCACTAAGGGTTGACGGCTGCGCTTTGAAGAGCAGTGGCTGGGTAGATGAGAACGTCCACGCATGTCTGGGCCCGCACCGCGTCAATCAATGCGTCGATCCATCCATCGCACACATCTGGGGGGCCCTGGGATCAGGGTTGGGAAGCGGGACCCGAGGCCCCGAGTCTGCCCCCTAGCGGCTCAGTCTGGGGGCACAGAGGAAGGGGCAGCCGGCGTCCCCATGGACAAGGGTGACAAGGTGGAGACAGGGGCTGTCCCCTGCAGGCGGGGCTGTGGTGGGAGGGCAGAGCTGGACGGAGCACTCGGCCACGGGGACGAAACTGGCAGCCAGGAGGCGGAGCCACCACGAGGTCCTCAACAGCCCATCTTCCAGAAAAAGTTTATGGTCGATGAGAAGCCCGCGGTGCTGATCCTCCACCTGAGAGTCGGGCGCAGGTCTGAAAGTGGGACTGTCTGCTCCGGCGGGGAGGTGTTGGGGCCAAGAGCTCGGCCCACCTTTCCAGAGAGCTTTGGAAGCAGGTGGCCCCCGCCAGGGCCAGAGGTTCCACCAGAGCCACAGGTCCCTCGAAGACCTGAGCACACTGGTCCCCTCGCGTCACCCATCGCCACTCCCTGCTCCTGGGGGGACAGGCGGCCCCGCTCTGCCAAGCTCACTGTGCCCCCTCTGGGGCGTCAAGGACTCTGAGAGTGAGCGCCTCCCCCTGACTTGCCCAGGTGTGGCAGGTGTCCATCCTGCACCTGGACCACGGGCTTCTCCTGCTGCACCTGGACCAGGTCAGAGACCGTGTCTTCTGAGCCGAGGGCCGGGGACTGCAGGGCCGGGCAGACCCAGCAGATGGACACCCAGCTCCAGCGCCCACCAACCACAGGCTGTCTGGGGTCGCCTGCCCCTCCCAGGTGCACCGTCCATGGCTGTGAGCCCTGAGGCCTGTGCGGCCGAAGGGGGTGAGCATGTTCTAGTCTCGACAGGTGCTTGGAGTGAAGGAAAGGCCCGAGAAGCGTTCCCACGGGGAGGGGCTGGGCCTGCCAAGGGGCTGTGTGTGGTGGCTGGGTGCCCCTGCCCCCACCTCTGCAGGCAGCCAAGCCCCAGGACCTCCGTGGGGCTGGGGCCCAGAGCACGGGGAGCCAGGCAGGGCTTGGGGCCAGAGGAGAGGCAAAACCTCAGTTCACACGGGAGAACACGGAGGGGTACGGCCACCGGCCCACCCAAGCCTCACCGCAGGCCTGCCCACCGTGGCCATGCCCCCAGGCCCTTGAAGGCCTCAGGCCGTCTGGAGCCTTGGCTCTGAGTCTCACCTCCTCCGGGAGTTCACTCAGAGGCCCCTGTCCCTGTGAGCTCTCCTGGTCTGGGGCTGCCCTGGGCCCCTGATGTCCCCACAGAAACGCACTTGTGGGGCCCCTGGATCTGAGGATGGTGGCCACGTGGCACAGGGTCTGCTTGTCTCCAGGTCCCTGCCCTTTGGTGGCAGAGCACAGAGGGGACCCCAGGCCCAAGCACGCCCCAGAAGGCAAGCTGGCAGGCCCGCACACCTGGCAGGTGTGGGGACAGAATCGCTCCCCTCTGCCTTGAGCACCGACAAGCACAGGTGCGAGGCTCCAACGTCCTGGCACCGGGGGTGGCAGCTGTGGCCCGGCCCTCAGCGCTCTCCATGGCCGCTGCGCTCCGGCAGGTCGCCCCAGCTGCCCCCGGTGCCAAGGACCCAAAGCCCCACAAATGCCAGAGACCTCCGGCCAGTGAGGGTCCGACAGAGGGTGGCCCAGCCTGGGTGCACCCTGGGCCGGGGCCCCAACGCCACGGCCGGTCCTCAGATGGGGGTGGGGGCTCGGGGGCGCTCCCGTGGCGGCCACGGCCAGCCGGTCTCTTGACCAGACTGTGAAACAGCCCATCCCAGTTGTTTTACAGTAGGGCCCAGAAGGGGAGGATGTTCCCCTTGTGCTGTGCGCTCCCTGGGGAGGCCCTCTGCAGGGGCCCAGGTCCCCTGATTCCCGGGGCCCCTTGGCGGGAATCCTGGACAGGACCCCATAACCCTTTGGGGTCTCTTCTTCTGTCCTAAGTGTCACCATGCAGAGCCTGGGCAGGAGGACGCGCCTGGATGGCGACCCCGAGCCCCCCAGTCCTCCCTTTAAAGGACGCTTCTCCCTGGGGGCGGATCCCTGAAGCCCCTCTCTGGGGTGGGGGGGCTGGGGGTGCTCTATATCTCCCCCAGAAACCAGACGACGCCCATCAGCGATCTTTCCGGGAGCACAGACCTCACTTCCAACAGGGGAGCCTGGAGGGCCGTCCTGTCCAGCCCCACGCAGTGACCACCTGATGGGACCGGGACAGCTGGGGACGGACTGACGGGCCCCACAGGGAGGTGTGGAGGTTTGGGAGGATGAGGGGCTGGTGGCGACCGGCTTCCTCGGTCCGGGCACTGCTGGTGTGGGGGCCGCCCCGCCCCCGGGGCCACTACGTACCGTGGTGGTCTTTATGCGCCCGCCGGGCTGCGTGCACGTCCAGCCCGACCGGTTGATGAGCAGGTCGCAGCCCTCCCCCTCCAGGCAGGGCCGCATGTCACACCACTGCTTGGTCCTGATGATCCGGGCTGTGGGGGGAGAGACGGCGGTCGGTCAGTCCCTGCGGCCGGGGACCCGGTGCCGCCCTGCCACCCGGCTCCCAGGGACCGCAGAGCCCGGCCGGGAGGCCAATGTCCAACGGGGGCCCTGCCGCCGGTCACTGCTCCTCCCCCAGGTCAACCAGCTTCTGGTGGCCCCCCCGCCAAGTGGGACTCTGCTGCCGGTGACTGAGGGCAGAGCAGGCAGCCCGGGGCCCTGCCACGGCCCCTCCCCCGAAGGGGGCTCCCAGTCAGCACGTCCCTCGGGTGCAGCAAGGACAGTGTGCCCTCCCCTGGGGCCTGGGTGCAGTGCCGGGAGCCAGGCTGAGGGAAGGGGGCCCCCTCCGCGGTCAGGCCGACCCTCTGGCAGACCTCACAGTGACCCCACCCCCCGCCCCCACAGTTGACCCAACACCTCCAGGGCAGCGACATCGGGGCCCCAAATCCAAGATCCCTGAGCCCTTGTCACCTTGGGGGACAAGTGGGGGACAGGACTGGGCACATCTGGTGGCCACCCCTTGGCGCACAGGGAGTTCCAGAGGCAGGAGAGAGCCTGCCCCTCCCTCCTGGCCCCTCCCTGACGCTGCGTGGGCAGCCAGGAGGTTCTGATGGAAAACTCCAGAAGCGAGTGCTCCCTGTGGGTGAAGGCCGACTGTCTTCCCACCACTGTCGGTCACTAAGGAACGTCAGCGACCTCCGATCGTCTGCCAAGTGGGACAGAGCGCCGGCCTCGCACCCCAACAGCGCAGCCACACTTGCGTGGAAGCGGGGTCTGTGGAAGGCGGGGCTCCGGGTGGAGCTGGGCATTCAGATCAGATCAACACGCCCCGGGGGGCATTTCAGCTCAAAGTCACGTTACTGCCCCCCCCCACACTGCCCTGCCCCCCACGTGGACCCTGCTGCTGGGGAGCGGGGGAATCTGGAACTCTTGGGGAAGGGGGGCTGGGGAGTGGGGTCCAGGCGCCCAGACAGACGTGTCTTCACGTGTCTGCCCCCTGCTCAACCAGCCAATGCAGTGCCTGTGCCGATGTCCCTGCCCGAGCAGAGGTGGCAGGTGACAGCTCCGGGAGAGGGAGAGCCGGGTGGGCCACTCCTGGGAGACCTAACGGAGGGGAGCCACCCGGGAGGCCAGCCGCTCCGCCGGTTCCGGAGGCCTAGTGGGGCTGCCTGCGGCAGGGTCTCTGGCTCCACGGGGCACGGGCCTGGGGTGAGTGGTCACACCCACCAGTGCGCAGCCCGTGGGCCGGGGGACACCTGTGCATGCTGGCAGCCCTGGCCCTGGCCCAGCCAGGCCATCTCCCCACCCACAGGCGCGGGGAGGCTGTCCCACGGCTGGTCACCCAGCGACCCGCCGCCTCCTGGGCCCTGTGGTGGACAGTCCTGTGTCTGCCCAGAGCCTGAGACCCTAAGCACCATAGATGTGCGTGAAGACGGGACCCCTCAGGAAGCAATTCAGGGTAAATGAGGTCCCAGGGGGTCCTGGTCTGAGAGCACGGGTGTCCTTCTGGTGTCTCATGTCGCCTCCCTGCCCCAGGAGGACACAGCGAGGACACGGCTGTCTGCCACCCAGGACCAGCGCTCCGACCCGACCCCCAGTGGGAGACCCCTCGGTCCCATGCTTCCGGCCTCCGGAACTGCCAGGCAAACTTGTCTGAGCCCCACCCCCGGGTCTGTGGTCCCCTCACTGCAGCCCGAGAGGACGGAGCAGCCCAGGGGGCTCCAGGACGTGGACGGGGTCCCGCCCCGGGAGAGGCAGCAGGAGGAAGTGCTCTTGCTTGTCACACGTGTGTGCGCAGGCCACTGCGGCCTCAGGCCTCTGAGGTCAAGAGCCCGCACCCAGCAGATGTGAGGGGAGGGACACGGCCCTGCTGTCCCAGGGAGGCGGCCAGGTGAACATGGGTGACGACGGCCGGGGGCTGGGAGACCAGGCCCAGTGTCCCCTGCTGCAGCCACATGGTTCGCACACACACACACGTCCTGCACACAGACCATGTGGAGCAGCACACATGGCCTACACCCACCCACACACATGTACTCCTGTGCACACACAGCCACGCGTGTGGGGCCGCTGGAGGGCTGGCCTGCCTGGCAGGCAGTGGGCAGGCTGACGTGCTCGCGGGAGGAACGGACACTCGGAGTCACTGACCACTGCCCGCCGGGCCAGGGCCTGGTGTGCCAGGCCAGCCCTGCAGGGGGCGCCGCAGGCCGCAGCCCAGCACACACCGCCTTTGTTTGTTCGGGGCCGGCTCTCCCAGCCCAGCCCACTTCCTGCTGGGGGCGGTCGGAGGCCCGCTGCCGGGCCACCACGTCCCGGGGACAAAAGGGCCTTTCATGCCCACACGTCACAACTTCATCTCCTTTGGCCCAGACTCTGCAGCAGCTCCTGGCCTGGGGACAGTGTCCCCTAAGGGCGACGGTGCTGAGTGAGGGTGGCTGAGGGCTGGGGACCGTGGTCACAGCCTGTCTGTGTGTCAGAGCCCTGAGGGGCTTTCGGAGGGTCGGGAGCAGGGGCCATTTCTGGCCTTGTCCCCAGGCCCAGTGGACAGCAAGTGTGTGCAGCCCGGTCCTCTGAGGGGACAGTGCAGCCCCGGGACCCAGCCCGGCCTGGCCGCCGGTGGCGTCACTCCCCTCCCTTTTTAGATCATCCCCCCTCCCAGACACACACACACACACACACACACACACACACATCCGTGAGTGCACACGAGCCCCCAGCACGCAGGGGGCACCGGCCAGCAGGCTTCCCCCTTTTTTCCAGGGGAGACCCCAGGGGCTTGGGCTTCGGCTGGGGCGACCCGCTCCTTTCTGGGCTCCGAGCCTCCCTGTGCAAGGACCTTTGGGTGGCCGATGACAAAGTCCTCAAGGACAGAGGGCTGAGAAACAGGAGAGCATGGGGTGAACGACTTGGGGGGGGCGGGCGAGGAGGACGGAGGGGTACAGGTGGGCAGAGGCGGGCGCAGGGACTTGGGCGCATGCGTCTCTCGACGCGCTCGCCTGCCCCCAAACCGGAGGAACTGGGCCACCGGACGGTCCTGCTGAGACCTGGAGCCGGTCTGGCGTGTGTCCACGGGCAGCCGCTGTGGCACAGCAGGCACACACGGTGCCAAGCCGGGCCTGGGCAGATGGGCGAGGACAGGCCGTGCCAGTCGCCGGGGGTGCGTGGGGACGGCCGCTCGCCGCAGGCCGGGCCCTCGCTGTGCGCAGGCTGCGCGGCCCCCTGGGAATCAACCGGCTCTTCATCTCCATCCACACACGACTCTGCCTGGTTTACTCAGCAGCTCGAAGATGAGTCAGCAGAGCAGGACCAGCAGGACTCGGGGGGGAGCTGGGGACACGTCCTCAGACGCGGTCACAAAGGACGCGAGGCCTTCCAGGACAGGGAGGCGGCTCTCTGGCAGGCTCTGGCCCAGGCGGGTACGTGCCCGAGCTGTCCCAGATCTTGCTGGTGACAGAGGGGGCAGCTGACACTTAACATGCACATAACACACTAATTACATGCACACATATGTACTCATCCCCCCCCCCACAATTACACACACTGACCCCTACGTCACAGGCAGGTCAGATGCCCCAAGGGTTCCGGAAGAACCTACCACTGCAGACACGCGGCGAGGTCCCCAGAGGGCCCCGGCCTCCCACTGTTATGGCCCCACTGGCAGAGGCACCAGCTCCGGCAGGAGGCCCGAGGGCAGGGGGTCAGAGGGAGCCCAGTGGCCCCGGCCCCAGGAGCCCAGTCACAGGCTGGCCCTGGGGATGCGGAGGAATCAGGTGAGCTCAGGCAGGAGCGGTGCACGGACCAGCGACAGGCACACCGGGGCACCGAGGGGTGGGGGTGGTTGGCCCTTGGAGCCCACCTGCCCAGGCTGGCTGCCCGGGGGGCCAGGGAAGTGCGCACAAACCCAGAACACACGCTGGGGCACCCCCAGGCCTGGAAGGCATTTATCCTGCTCCCCTGCCCCCGCCCGAAGTGCCTTCTGAGCTCCTGAGTCACACTGAAGTGTCTGTGTCTGGACACTCCCGGTGAGCAAGCCGGTGGGACGGCGCAGGGCCCCTGGCCCTCGGGGGCTCGGCAGCCACTGTGGGGGAAGGGCCGCGGCGCTCGCTGGCCCCTGGGGGCCCCGCACACTCATTCAGTGCTGCAGTGACTATCGATCCCACGTACGAGGACTCGGTGAGTCTTACCTTCACGTCACAGGTGGGGACGAGGAAGCTCAGAAAGGCCAGAGCAACGGCCAAGGGCACATAACTGGGAAGTGCCACAGGGGCCTCCTGGCGTGGCTGGCCTGACTGAGCCCCACGCTCTCTGTAAGCCTGTGGCCCGGGGCCTGGGCCCAACCCCCAGAGGGCCGACAAGACGGGGCCGAGGGACACACTGACCCTCCCCGGGGAGTGAGGGCCGCGTCCTGGACCCAGGTCCAGGGTCCGCACCACTCACAGCTCTGCACCCCAGTCTCCCCATCTGTCCAAAGGGTGACCGCGCCTCTATGGGGGGCCTTCAGGAGGACAGCCGGTGGGTGGAGCCTGGGGAAACTCGCCCGGGGCCACCTTTCCGGGGGACAGCCCCTGGGTGCGACGGTCTGCCCGGCAAGCCACGTCCGGACCGTCCCACTGTCCTGTAAGGGGTGGTCTGTGGCCACCGCCACCACTGCCATGACGGGCCAGCCTTTCGGAGGGGTGCAGGGCCACCTGCTGGGAGCAGACGCTTGCCTGGGGGGCTGCCAGGGCGACCCCGGCTCCGAGGGCGAGCCAGTGGGTTACGTGAACTGGGCACACATTCCCGTCACCATCGCGTCTCCATGGAGACACCGGCCTTCTCTTCCTCTCGAGGCCTCAGGACCTGGGAGCTCTGCTTGGCACGTCTGCCCCTTCCTGTATGGCTGTGGGGTGGCCGTGGGGTCCCAGGGCGCTCGGGGAGGAGGGCAGGTGGGGGGCTGGAGGCCTGGCTTAGCAGAAGGGTGACAGTGCCCATCCCTGCACAAGGAGACCCCCCA